AGGGATTACGTGTGGACGCAGATAAAACATCCACGATGACGTGAGGCAGCCTGACAGAGGGTGCCGGTGGGTTATCCACCCTCCCGGCATGAGCAATTCGAAAGGGCCTCCTCCGAGCGTGCTTTACTCCTCCACCGCCCGTCGCAAGGAGCCTGCGAGGCCCCTGGAACCAACCGCCTGGAGGAGACCGACACTTGGATTTACCTAAATACGTTATTAGTTCAGCCATTCTGGTTGTAACGAATGTGAAATGAATACAAAGAACTTGATCTTCGCTTAAGAAGAGTTGGAATAATGCACGGAGCACTGGCAGAGCCGCCAGCACTGAATAGAGGCAAAAATACTCGAGAGCTGCGAGGGAGAGCGAGGGAGCTCGGTGAGCCTTGCGAGGACCCCTCAGCTCCCCACAGCGCTATTTCTGACCGTTGCCCTGTGTTCTTCTCGCAGGTCCATCTGGCCGGTTCCTCAGGACAGAGAGATCCCGGTTCCGAGATGAGCCCCTGAGCAGCAAAGAGCCATCGCTCGTGCGGTACGTGAAGCGCGACCGGGGCGTCACACAGCACTGCAGGGGAACGCACCTCCGCTCCCAGTGCTGTAATATGCTTTTTCCATCTGTGCTGCTCCAGTCCATCGTCTGGGCCACCAGCTGATGAGATGGCACAGAACGCCAAGCTCCAGCCAAGCTTTGAGGACGTTTTTAATATTCTATCCCAGATCCCACAAGACAGACTCCTCAGCCTCAAACATAAACTGAAGCACTTGGTATTTGGGCCCAGCAGCAAATTACTGCAAGCCATGATCCTGCTTACCCTGGGGCGAGAAGGGGACGCAAGAATCTGTCTGGATGCCTTGGGAGATAACCGGGCAGCCCAGTACATCCACCAGACCAAACTGGGCGCTGCAGGAGCGCAGGAAGACAGGGGGGATTTGCAGCCTCCCCAGCTGGATGCGGGTGCCATGGCGCTTCTGGCACAGATCTACTCCCTGTTGGCGAAGGAAAAACCGTGCAGTCATGAGGCCACGGACAAAGCCTGCCGGGCTGCCACCAAAGCCCGCAACGCCAGCAAGGAAACTCAGGGGGCCACACTCAACAGCATCCCACCCCAGGACCAGGAAAACCACAGCTCTGCTGCCAACACGGGCCCAGGCAACAAATTTCAGACGCTGAGATCTGATGCGGGCGCTGGATTTCTCCAGGTGCCCAGCCCAAACTACGTGGTGAGAAGTTCCCCCGTGCAGATTGGAGGCAACTCGGACCTTTCAGGCCCACAGACCCTGCGCTCCACGGGCACCCCCTCTTTCCCCAGTCGCTTTGAGATCAGCGCGTCGCCAACGGTTGTTTTTCGCACCCAGCCGTCTTCCCACCAGGGTGTCCCCCAGCCCAGCGGGCTGAGCGAAGGGAGTGCCAGCGGTGCTGGACAGCCCGATGGAGACGGACAGAGCCACGGCCCCCAGGAAACAAGCTGGGCCAGCAGAACCAATTCCCATCCCTGGCAGGACACAGGTGCCCAAGTCTCCCAGCTGGAGAAGGTTCTGCCGCTCAGTTCACGTCATCCAACTCTCCCTATTCCCGAAACGCAGCCGCCCACACTGGGTGCTCTGAACCAACCTGTCCAAAGTAGTGATGTTTCCAGCACAGTGGCAGCAGAACCTCATGCACCAGAAGAAAGCACAGCCAAAAAGCAAGACGAAAAGCACTTATCTACAGGTCTTCCTGACTCAAGAGCTACAGGGGATACTGGTTCTGCCCATAAGTCCACGGAGGACTCCTGTGTTCCAGAAGGCACTTCTAACTCTGCATCTGCTTCCATTTCAGCCTGTCCCCTTCCTCCTCCTAGCTGTTCCTTCTCCTCAACCCTTCCCCCTCATTTTCTGGGAGCTGCTTCCAACTTATCTTATGCCCCTCCCCTCCCCTCATCCCCCTCTCCAGCCTGGCTGCCTCCTCTCCAAAGTGTAGAAGCAGTGCCCACATCAGAGTTAGATGGTAGAGAGCTAAAGTTCTTCACCTTTGTTGTCCTGCACGCTAGTGAAGATGAGATTGTTGCCCATCGGGTCAAGAACCTGCTGGAGAACATGGGGGTTCCCAACGGTGCCACCCTCTGTGAGGACTTCTTCATTGCTGGACGCAGCCACCTCACTTGCTTCCAGGATGCTATGGAGAACTCTGCTTTCATCATCCTTCTGCTGACCAAGAACTTCCCAGGAAACCTGTGTATGTTTCAGACAAACACTGCCCTGATGGAGTCCATCCTGAAACCATCCAAGCGTGACTCAGTCATCCCTTTTGTACCCAAGGAGAACCCCCTGGAGCGGAGTCAGATTCCCAGCACGCTCTGTGGGCTCATGCCCTTGGATGAGAACTCTCCTGGCTTCTCCAGGACAGTGCAGAACACCTTTACCACCAGCAGGATCAATGAGAGGAAAGCCACGTGGGACATGATGCAGAGAAAGAAGCTACAGCAGTATCAGGAACGGTATCAAACACTGCACAACTTGGCTGCTCTGAACCTTGGCTCCCTTCCCCAGGCGCCTCCATCAGCACCACGGCCGCAGCTGCTGGAGCAATCACCCCCACAGCGGTGTCCCCCCGCTTCGGCTGTCCCTCCTGCTGCAAACCCTCCCCCCCCCGCCGGTCACCCCATGCCTACTCAGATGGGTCCCCTTCCTTTCCAACCACTTCATCTCCCATCAGGCCACTACAACGTGATGCCAGGTCCACAAGGGATCCCGCACCTCATCATTCAACATGCTCGAATGGTTCAGATTGGGAACCACAACACGATGCAGGTAGAAACTGCCACACCAGGTCCACAGGACAGCAAGGAAGAAACCAGGTAGAAAGCTTGACCGGAGATGCAGCAGGTCAGCCAAGGCCGGACACTCACACTTGGTTTCAAACCCGTTACAGGGATTCCGCTGGGACTGGGACTATTCTTCCTTCACTGTGGGTAAAAGGTGCTACTTTCTTGGAGCACAGGAGACAATTACCTTCTTTTTTTGTTGGACAAAAGAGGTTGCAATCTCCGGAGACTCTTTCACTTGTGCTTATTTTCAAGTAAATGAGAAAACTCTTTTCCTGATTTTCTGAGACTACCGGAAGGTTTTATAAATAAATTTTAATTAATTTATTTGTGTTTCTCTGGCTCTTTCCTCTAGAATTAGAAGAGGGGCAGTCGGGGGGGATCGAGAGAACTGTTCTGTCTGTACCTTTGGGGTGGAAGGGGCCAGGAGGTGGCACACCGCATTTCTGTTTCAGCTGCTGCTGCTGACCCAACCATTTGAGGGAAAATCTTGAGGGGACGCTTTGGGGAGCTGCTGTGGCCCCCTGTCAAGGTGCAGTCTTCCAGCAGTCTTCTTCGCTTGGGCTTTCACGCCCATGCTCACGCTGCGCACACGGTGCCGCACCAGCAGCGCCATTTCCCCCAAGCCTCTCGCATCAGACCCAGGAAGGTTCTGGAAAGCGGCTGCAGAGCTTTCGGAGAGGCTGCGGGCGTCTGGGCTGAGGCATCAAGAGAGCACTTTTCCCAGTTCCCCTCTGAAACTACAGAGAGATAAGTTTTGTGTTTGTGACAGACAAAATTCCCACGTGTCCCTGGAGGTGTGGCTTGAAGTATTTTTGTATTTAAGAAACATCTGTTAACGAACTGAGACCGCACACCAGAGTCAAGGCTCAACAAGAACCTTTACAGTAAAGCTGCGCTTGGGGGAAAAAAATACTTAATGAAAGTGGAATGAGGGGGGAAGCACAGAGAAAGTCTGAGGAGGCAAAAGCAGAGTGTTCGCTCCTCCGTTCTTACCTGCTTGGAACCGGCCAGAGGTGGGACCGGGGCCCCGTTAGCCCGGCTGCGAGAGAACTGTTCCCTGCGGAGATCACCCCACCCGGTTGTGTTACTGCCTTTGAGGAAAAAGTCTGATGGAAAAGCAGAGCGTTACAGAAGGGGTGGAGGAAGGCCAGGAACGGGGAGGTGGTGCGCAGGCCCTGGGTGAGGGCTACACCGGGCAGCTATCTACTGAGCTTTCAGCGCAAGGAGGGCAGCGGAAGCAAAGCCCCAGACTCCACGACGGTTTCTGCCACGGCCGTTTGCATGCTCTGTCAGCAGAGGTCAGCCCAAAGCCACTGGACGACCAGAAATGGGATGGCTCCCTCTGTGGACCACAGCCCAGTCAACAGCACTGGGCTCCCCAGTCACATCACCCCGCGGTGGGGCTCCTTCTCCTCACCCAAGAGCTGCCAAGTCCTCATCAAGGTGGACCTCAAGGACCAGTGTGATTGATACAGGGGAGGTGACCCCGTCTGGGGTATTTCTGCAGATGTGCATGCGCTCGTGTCATCGGAACAGCTGTCCCAGCACGTTTCAAATGGAGAGGAGCCAGCACGGCCTGGCAGCCAAAGCGCAGGACTCCTACACGCCATCCTGGACCTGGGACTACTCAAACTGAGCCCTCACAGGACCTAATTCTGGATTACAGCCTTCGTCCAAGAACCATCCGAGCCTTAACCCAACACCCGCATAACAAAGTCATTAATAAGTCCTCAAAGAGTGTTCAGCTGACATTAATCTCCTCTCAGGGACCACTCTGACCACTGGGCTAAAGACTGTCCAATTCTCACTCTTCCTCTCTGGCTCAGCCTACCTCCAGCTCGTTCCACACAGAGCACACCTTCCCAAACAAGTACCAGCCTACTAACCAAAGCTCACTGCTGAGACGCGAATCCCCAGCACGGAGAACAGCAGTGGGGGGGTCTCTCCGCAGCCCTGCTCCTCAGAGGACGGCAGGGAACAGTATACAGGACAGTCCCCACCTGCCCTCTGCTGAAAGCTGCAACTGCTGTTTTTTTTTTTTTTATTATTTTTGAGCAGCTTATGCCGCTCAGAAGGGGCCGAGGATGTCTGCAGGATGATGCTGGAGAGCCTGAGCACTGACTGAACTTCAGTGCAAGCTCTGGAGCTCCTGGGCACCACCAGATGAGGAGCCGAGAGCTGATGTGTCCCTACTCTTAAGTGCAACAGAGCAGTTGTGTCAGTGTCAGACTTAAATCCCACAGAATTGCCTCTTAAAAGGCCACAGGTCCTTTCTCACAGATCTGTCCATAGGTCTCTCTGCCTCCCTCCCCTCCACCTCAAGGAGGCTGAGCTCCTCCTGGACCTCCTTGGCTGAGAACACCAGGCTCAGACAACTCAAAGCCTTCTGTCCTGAGCAGAACAAGAACCATATAAAAGCACTGCTGTTTAAAAGCTGTCCTCAGGTGTTGGCTTCCAGCTCTGAAACAGTTTGGCTTTTAACTTCGAAGGACCCAGTGACAATGGATTAACTCATTTACCCTTTATAGAGTCTGCTGGAACCCTCCAAGTGCTTGGATTCCTTCTATTTCCCTACTTTCTCCGCTCTACATCACCTTTGTTCCAATAGGTGTTGTGTTACCGCAATTCCGGTGACGTTGCAGTTGCTGCGCAGCCACCAGGACAGTCCCTCCCCTCGGCAGAAAACATATACATCACTCCTTCCCCAGCTCTTCTGCTTTCTATAAATAAACGTCATGCAAACCTGGTCAACTGGAAGCCGCTCTAGCTTGTAAACAACTTTAACACAGCCACATCGGGTTTGCTTGGACCGGAGAAAGGGAGAGGGAAAGATACGGCCGCAGACTGTAGGGTTGGAGGGGTTTTTTTTTTAAGCTTACGGCGTGTGGAGGGCCGAGAGGCTCAAAGGTTACTGGGAGCAAGTTCCTTCCGAGAGCCACAGCTCTGTTTTAATCGCAGCAGCAGGTTCACTCTTCCCATGTTTTTCAGGGCCCTCTTTGCCGTCGCTCCCCCTGGAAAGGAAGCTTTGCCACCAGGGCCTTGTTTTCACCTGTGACCCTCTCGTTCTTCCCCAGTTTCTCTGGGAACCTGAGAAATTCTGACGCGGCATCCCTACTTTTATGCTGTAGGCCACGTTCTTTGTAAACACTGATCTTACGGCATTAGGAGGCTCCAAAAATGTCCATAGAAGGGCATCAGCAACCAGCTCCAGGAATGACCCAGTGAATTCCTCACCACTTTTGCATTTCTAAAGAAACCTGCATGGGAAGCTTTATTGTCAAGAGGGCAAATTACCAGTATTAAGGAGAGAAAAGCACATCTGAGGTTTTAAGAAAGGAACAGAAGACAGACATTCTGCTGGTGGCAGTGCACAGGAGGGCTCCTGGAGAGCACTGTGCTCCAGGAGGGTCTGTAGCCACCCCAGTGAAAAAAAAAGCACTTCCACTCTCTGTCCAAGGTAATTAATTACTCAGATAACGAAATCATCACTGAAACATTTCACTGCTCCCCACAACTCCTTGTTTTGCCCCACATACTGGAGCTGGCCCGGACCACACCTACAATAAATAAGGACTGTTCATTGTAATTACCCCTAAATTCATGGAGTGATTTCTGCCACCCAGTAATTACTATCAAAATTTAATTGCTGGGTCCTTACTATGTTATCACAGATTATTATATATATTAAAAAAAAAATATTAAAGCCCTTTTCTATCACACAAAGCATTCTCTTCCTCGAGGCTTTTGTCCCTGACTGGATCCCCCAGTTACTCCATCACAAGATCCCAGCTCCAGAGCTGCTTCCCCACCCCAGCTGTGGAACAAGTCCCTTCTCATCTCCCTCCTCCCAGCAGCTTTGGGATCGGGGGCAGAGAGCACCACGGTCCAGGATCAGCCGCTGCCTCAGCCCTGAGGCTATGCGGTTCCTCCTACCTGCGGTGGCAGCGTCTCTCCTACGCACCTGAAGACCACCTATAGCACAGCAGTCCTGTTTCAACGGGAGAAGCACGTCCCACAGAACTGCAGGCATCGCTTAAATGTGATGTCTAGCACGAGGGCAGCAACACTGATCGAACCATCAGGAGTTATTTTTGAGGACGGAACAATCAACAAAGGGACAAACATTCAAGTATTTTAGCCATCTGCTCCCATCCCCCCGGGGAAGGCCGAGCAGTTTTGGAAATCCAAACTCTTGTGTGGAACTAACTCCAGTACCTTTAATTCCCCTGCCTGCTTTTTGACCTCCCACTCACAGCTCTGGGGTTGAAAAACATAAATTGATGATAGCCCCACTGTGTCCCTCTTTCCGCTGGCTGTGCCCAGTCCCAACCATACATAAGGCAGATAATACCCGAGTATTATACCGAGTAGCATCCTTTCACACTGTTTAATTTACATCAAAAGATACAGGGCAAAGCATATAAAGAGAGGTGTAATTTCAGTGTCAGTGTTACCCTTTTTCAGGGGAAATGTTTGCAATTGCAGTGCAGATTAGCTTTTCCCAGAAGGAAATCCAGATGAAATGAAACAATCCCATCTGTTGGTTGCAAACGCCCAGTACTTCCGTACCCACACGTGTACCATCCCTAGGGAACAAGCTGAAAAGAGAGGCTTACCAGCAAGAAGTCCAAGGCACTTGCATTCTAGCAGCCATTTTTTGTTTTATTATTTAAAGTTAAGAGCACTCATCAGCTCACAAATTAACAAATTCCATTCCTGCAGTTTAGTTCGGGTTTCAGCCAAAAGAAAAAAAAAAAATAATAGAACGTAGCTAAACTAACTCTGCACTTTACATATCGATAAAAGTTAAACCTCCTTGCTTTATAAATAAATGTTATAGTTAACACTGCAAAAATGTAATGGCAGATCTACAATATCTTTAAGGGGCAGAGAGCATTGGATTATTGAGGCATACGGATACGCTGGCTTATAAATACAAGTAGAGAAGCTTCAGTAGCATACAGTGCATGGTTGTTTATCAGGGTTCTGCTCTCCCAGTCTTGACCTTTCCCAAAGCTCAGAGGCAGCTGCTTCACCCCCAACTGCGCTTTCCACTCTGCCTGGGGCCAAGAAATGAGCCACAGGCTGCCAAAGCCCAGCCACTCCCGCTGCAAGAAGATAAACTGCTGGAACAGCATCGTATTTACCAACACTGACTGTTTACCACCAAGGGGGGTTCTGCTAACGGAGGCAAATACCTACCCTGAGACTACAGATTTAAAGAAAACACCAAGTTGTGTGCAGATCCTAATTAAAGAAAGGAGCTTGCCCAAAGAGGAGACAAATGAGATTTCAAATTCAATCTTTGAAGTAGCACCATCCTCAGTGAAGTTGCAGAAAGAACCAAAAGCCAAAACCAGATGCTAACGACCCACTCCACGTAGGTTTTCAGAATGAGATAATTAAGAGCCCAATCGGTTGATACTAATAAACCTCAGAAGAACAAGAAGGCACCTTTAACTTTCATTTCTTTCTTGCTTCTTCCTTCAGACCACCCTCATGCAAACAGGCCACCAACGCTCACTTGCTTTAATAACCCCCCAGCACCACCCACACTACAAGTACCTCCCCTCCTAGCGGGCTTGTGAGAGCACATCCTTGAAGATGGACCAGAGTGCACCGGTTTGGCTCCAAAACTGGCCATATCCACCCTGTACAGCTCTATCCCTGCTGACCCCTGGAGCTAAAGGACCTCAGCACGGGGAAGGGACTGAAAGTGTGTGGAATGGGCAAGCTAAGGGCCTGGATGCCACATTACTATTTTGTTTTTAAGGTAGCAGTTTTTCCTCCCCATTCATAAAACCCAACATCTATTGATGAAACTATATAACCAGAACTGACCTTACTACATCTTACAGGATTGAAGAAGTCTTGCAGCATAGATAGGGCCTGGCTCTAAAAGAGAAAAAATAACCCAGCTTTATGCACAATCATTGAAATCTCAGGCCTTTAACACCGCTCGCTACTTGGCCAACCAAGGGAGAAAAAACCGTCCTCGGCATACCCAGCCCTACTGCCACGCAAGGCAACTACCTCAGCAGAGCACAAGCCACTCGGCTGTTCGACTCGTACTGAACCAAATCTGAGAAGGGGGTGGGGAAAGCATTAGTTGGAAGGTATTTTATTCCTCACTTGCATTCCTATCTGTTCGGTATTTGGGATGGGAAGGGCTAGAGCACGGGTGTGATGCGTAGCTGCTCCAAAGCTTAACGCTGAGTTAATCCAGCACTAATGGGAGAGGCAGCAAGTCCCAGGGAATCTCCATTTTCCTTCCTTCTCAGGACAAGGCGGTTGGCATGGAAAGGGCAGGGGCTGTGGCCTTCTCTGGATACAGTGCTCTGGAGATATCTGGTACCTGAAGATGACAACAATGAGGGACAGCCTTGAGCTCTCGAGCCTCCTCCTCCCCTAGCCCTGCGCACACCAGCTTGATGGTGACAGATGAGGACAAAGCTCGCAGCCCATCTCAGCTCAGCGACAGCCTTCGGCACCTCGGCAAGGACGGCCTGAGATCTCAGGCTGCACTGCCTCTGCGGGGTGAGACAGGTGATGGGAAAGGCTGAGGACTTCAGCTCTCCCACCCTAGTGCAGTTCAATGAAGGCTTCCAGCTCCTCGGGGATGAAACCCTTGTAGGGAATCTTGTGCTTATCCAGGGCGCGAGCAGCAAGGCACTGGAGGGTGATGTAATTGAAGGGCTGCATCATGCTCTTGGTGAGCAGCTTCTCATCCAGCAGCTCATAAGCGGTCTGCTTGAAGGCATTGGTGGCGTCCATGTGGGCTCCAGCCTCCATCAGGGCACTCATGATCAGCGGGCAGTTGTTGCGGGCAGCAACATGCAGCGGGGTGTTGTTGTCATAGTCACGGCTATCTGGGTCAGCCCCACACTCCAGAAGCAAGTTCACAACGTGCAGCGATGGGAACTTGCCCACGGGATAACGTCCCACTGTTGTGGTATCTTTGTCCACAGCCATATGCAAAGGAGTGAAGCCATTCTTGGCCCGGGGGCTGCACTTTAGCAGGCGGTAGATAGTCTGGCGCTTCTGGTGCTCCTGCTCCGGGGTGCACTCCACTTTCTCCAGCAAGAAGACCAGGTGGAGGATAATGGCCAGTGTCTTGGTGAACTGCGCCGAGTCAACCACAGGGTCCTTGCCATGCACGAGCGCCCTCTCCACCTCCCGGACCCCTTTGCTCAGCACTCCCATCAGGTCAGAGAAGCCCAAGTGGGTAGCTAAAGTGCCTTTGGAGCGGTCCTGAAGCACGTAAGAGAAAAGCTCAGCAAAGGAAAGGAAACTGCTGGCAGTCATCGGGCTGAGAGGCTCCAGGTTGCCTTGCTGCATGTCCAGTGCGTACTTCCACAGGTTAATGCAGCGTTCGAAGTTGCCGGAGTCAGCATAGACTGCCCCTCGGTAACGGATGTAATAGGAAGTGTCTGGGTGGGAAGGACCCAAGATGCGCTCTCTAATCAGCAGCGCCTGCATGCGCATCTCATCTGGATCAGTAATCAAAGCTTCCAGTTCCTCCAGCGAACTCACTTCCCGGGAATAGTCGTAGGCCAACACCAGCTGCCGGGGCTCAGGTTTAGGCAGGTATTGCCCACCCTCACACCGAAGCTCCATCGCCCTTCGCCAGTACTTGTGGGCTCCCAAAAGGTCACGTTTCTTATCCACAAACGTAGCACCCAGCAACTCCAGCGCTTCCACAGCAGCCTCTCGAGTGCAGAACACGTTAGGGACCTGCTGCTCATCCTGACTGGAAGCTGAGGCACAACATCTCTCACACTCCTCTTCGTCACAGCCCTGAGGAGTTTCCTTGCCAGCGCTGCAGCACCTCTGATGGCTCCCACCTGACGCACAGGTCCCATTTTGGCTCCCTGCAACCTCCTCCTCCTGCTGCAGCCCTCCTTGGATGAGGTACTCCACAATGTTGGTGTGACCGGTAACGCTGGCAGCTAGCAGAGGAGTCATGCCATAGCCGTCTTTCTCCATGCGGGCTTTGGAACGGAGCAGTAGCTGCAGGATCTCCAGGCTGCCGGACTCGGCGCAGTCATGCAGGGCTGTATTCCCCTTCACGCTCCGGCGGTTGACATCGGCGCCTTTCTCTAGCAAGTAACGTGCAATTTCCCGGTGCCCTTTGTAGCAAGAAATCATCAAGCAAGTGTGTCCGTGCCGGTTGGCTACTTCCAGGTCAGCCCCGCGCTCCCCGACTAGGTAGCGCACGATCTCCAGGTGCCCATCAAAGCAAGCTGCCCGCAGCGGCGTGGAGTTGGTCAGCGTGGTCTGGTTCACCGAGGCGCCGTGATCCAGGAGGCTGCGCACCACCCCCAGGTGCCCGGCAGCGGAAGCCGCCCAGAGCGGCGGGGCCCCCTCGATGGTCTCCCCATCGAAGTTGACCGAACCTCCCTCCTCCACGCGGGCGCCGCAGTGATCCAGCAGGTACTCCACCACCTCCAGGTGCCCGTGCCGGGCGGCGATCAGCAGCGGGGTGCTGCCTCCCCCGGGGCCGTCCCCCCCGCCGGGCCCCGCCGTCAGCGCCTCCAGCTCCTCCCGGCTCCGGCCGCCCAAACGCTCCCGC